ATATATATATATATATGTATGTGTGTGTGGTTGTACATACACATATGTAGTTGTTTTTTTGGTGTTTGGCTTAGTGTTATGTTAGAATCATTATTATACTCTTATACCTTTTGTTCTTTAATATTTTGAATTGTTTTTAGCTTTATTTTTTTTTTCCATTTAAATGTTAAGTTTTGAAATTTTGTTGTATGCATTTGTCATTTTTATTTAATCTCTTTATTTTTAAAATGTGTATAGGTAATATTTATAAAGTTTTAGATTTTAGTTTTGGATCTGTTTTTAGTTGTTTTAATACTACAATTGATTGCTTCGGATAAAAGCGTTTAATAAATGACTAAATAAATAAATACAAATAAATAAAAGGTGTCCTGGTGTGCTGTATGGTCCTCCGTTCAGGCATCATGCGTGGAGGTGGGATAGAGAGATGAAAAACGAGATTCGGGTGACTTTGAGTTTCTTAAGAAGATTGAGGATTGAGAGAGACGGCCGTCTGATGACGTGTGTGATTATGACTAACACAGCCTCAGCTGCAGAACGATCTGTTCACTAGAAAAATGGTTATAGGGTGCAAATACGTAGGCTTTGAAGACCTGTTTGTGGAAGGGGTTTGAGGAGATGAGAGCGCTGTAGAGTTATGATATTGAATAGGTGCTGTATATGTCTGAGTCATTCAAGAAACAGGTGTTGGGATGGTGACTTTTCAAGTAAGTTTCTGTAAGATGTTTTCTTTAATACTTTTATTACTTTAATTCTTCTAAATTGATTTGACCTGATTAATAGACATGGACATTAATATGCTGACATCAAGAATTACATATTGAAAAAACGATCAATATGTAATTCTTGATGAATTCTATCAGCTTATAGCATTTTCTGAATATCAGCTCTTGAAAATGGCTCATTTGAAAACTCATGATGTCATTTCCGCCTAATGATCCTATTTAAAATTGCAGTTCAGTATTGTTTTTAGGTAAATACCTAAATACCTGTATGATGGAGGAAGCCAACGTTCATGGACAGATAAAAAACAAAGTGTTAAAAATAATAGTTTTAGTAATGTTTCTTTAATATTTTTAATAGAATAAGTTGAATTCATGCATCTAAATCTCGCAAAATACATAATAGCAGATTATGT